AATAAGATTTAATCAAAATAAATTGACCAAATTATTTTTCCTCATCACGTGTGCAAAACTAATTTCTTAAAAAAATATAGACATAAATAAACAAGGAGCAATAATATACATAACATTAAATTTAACTATTTGCAAACTTAAATACTTGGGGTCTATTTGGTTGGAGGAAAAATGAATGCAAAGCATTTACTATGATTTGCTTTTTCACTTTTTAGTGTTTGATTGGGTGAAAATCAAATTCAAAGTAAAATAGAGTAATCGCAATACATTTCATTTTAGTTCAATTTTGAGGTAAAACATTCTCCCCTAATTTGGGGCGAGAATGCTTTACACTGCCGCATTGCTTAAGCATCGCTGCCGGCGACCTCCGCCACCGCCCACTGCCACACACAGCCAATTGCAATTGCTGGCCATCACCATTTAAAACTTTACATTCATTATTTCCAATAAAAAATTATTTACATACATTTATTTTATATTCATCCAAACAAATTCAAAATATTCCTTTTGCACTGCATTCTTTTTTCAGCCAACCAAATAATTCATGTTAAACGAAAATGTAAAAGTAAACAAAATCTTAATTTAACTTGAGCAAATCATCAATAGCTTTGGACATTGACATCTCATGATCAATGATATGTATCCATATATATAATAAATATAATACAAGTTGAACAAAATAATCAAAAACCTTCCAAATGTGTAATAAACATTTCAATACATTAGTCTTATATACCATGCAAGTTGTTATTATCATTGATCTATTTTTCTTCCCCTTTCCCAATCATTTTCAGCGGTCTTTATCCTCAGTTCCACACTGAGGACTAAAAGACTGTATTTCTAGTTTTTCATGAACAACAATTAACATAACAATATATACATCTGAAAGAGTATGATAAATCAAATGGAAGACATTACAGGTCATTAGAAGAACTCAAACAAAGCAACATCAGGAGAAATGTCCAATACATCCTCTCATTTATGAAAAGGATAATGCCATTTTGGAAAAATTATTAGGTGCGGAGTGTGCACCGTCCGCACAAGCACTGGGTACCCAACGGTACCGAGTGCCACTACCTAGTTGGATATAGTGCTTGTGCGGGGAGAACTCCCCGTCCGCACTCCGCACCTAATGATCTCTCGCCATTTTGATAGGTCTCTGCAACATTACAAGAGAAAAAAACAAGCTGTCTTTGGCCTTGACTTGACAAATGAGTTGGCTCAGACAATTTTACTCTTTCTTTTATAAAAAATAATGATATATCATCCACAAGGAACTTATGAAGCCCATCCTTGACTTTTCAAAGGTTGACCTCATTCTAGATTCTTCTCCTTGACCTACACTGCTTTTGTTTCTGAAAGTCCTAAAATCCCAAAAGCTTATGTAAGGTTGTTAACAAAATCATCACTAAAATTGTACCTACAAGACTCTTCCTTATTAAAAAGAAAAAAATTATCCTTTTGAACCAAAGAGGGTTGATCTCTTGTAGAAATATTGATGGCAGTGCCCTCTTAAGTTAGGAATTCATGATTAACCACAAATTTTGTGGTGGTAATGTCATTATTAAGCTTACCATCCTCGATTCTTATCACCTAATTACTCAGGACTTTCTTAAATATAGTATTACTAATTGTTTGTTCTCAGTTTTTTTGAATGATACCAGTGTTAGTTTATTTTAAGTACAGAGGTTTTAGATAAGATGAACCCATCTCTGATGTCTTCTTATTCATTGCTGTGGTTGAGTACCACTGCAGAAGTCTTCACAACATATATATTCCTCACCTTTTAAAAGAAAGATGAAATAACCTTATTAAACATCTTAACTTATGCTATCCTTGTATTTGTTAATGGGGTAAGTTTTTTGAAAAACTTGTGAAAAACCTAACAAATTTTTAGATTATGTTAGGGCAATCTATTACTAGTAGTGAGTAGTTAATAAGTACCACCTAAATTTCAACCATAATTATTACTAAGTTTAACTAGAAAGGCATTCTACTTCATTGTTCGGGTGTCCCTATTTCAAAGGTAAGACAGAAAACTTTTCTGTTTGATAATATTTTCATTAAAATTCAAATAAAATTAAATAATGGAAGAATTACTCTCCTTAAATAGCGTGTCAAACTCAATGCCCCTTTTACCTCGTACAAATTACTAATCAATCCCCAATAGTGTTCTTGAATAAACTTGGAAGGATCTTTAATAGGTTTCTTTGAAGTGCTACTAATAAACTAAAGAAAATCTATTGGTCCAAGTGGGATGATTTGTGTTGCCCTACATCTGAAATGGGGACTGAATTAGGAAGCTTCGAGAGACTTCAGAAGTCCTCTTATTTGGGTTATAGGTTTAGATGAGATAATAGTTTGTGGGCATATTATATAATATATAAATATATTGGAGAAAACCATCATTCGTATGTGAGATATAATTATCCTATTTAGAAGAGGATGTGCTATGCTAAGGATGAAACGGAAGACTTCAATTTTAAGATTGTAGGTAATGGTGATGTTTCTACTGAGAAAACCCTTAGATTGTAGTAACTGCATAAAAGATAAAAGGGCAAAACATCAATATTTTGAACCTTAAGATACAAAGCAACCTCCTAAATGAAAATCCTCCCTTATTTTCTTGGATAAGCCTCTGTAGAGGACCTCTGATAGGAAACACTTGAAGATTTCAATTAAATCCTATCAATCTCAGAAAAAACAACGAGAAATTTCCACAAATCCAACGGAAAATCAAAGAATTTTATTGCAAGAACACGATCCAACGGAAGAAAATAGCAAGATAGAATTGATCCTCTATTCGAGAGGAGGATCTATCTCTCCCAATTCTCTAGATGCTGCTAGAGCCCAAAAGAACCTAAGAGATCTCAAATTTCAGCCAAATTCAAGATGCCCTAACCCTAGGAAAACAAATTATTTAATACATACAATCCAAAAGGAAATCTCTAAATAGTCCCTACATTTAAATTTCCCTCCTAACTCCCTCAAAAATCCTTCCTAAATAGCTCAGTTGGGATTTGCGGTTCGGTCAGCACGTACAGGGAGGCAGAACTCTTCCGCCTCTGTCCGCCTGAGCCGGTCCCGTTAATGAGACTGGCTACACGAGACCGGTCCAATGGACCGGTCTAACCCTCATAAATTAATGTGTATGATTGTAGCAACAAAAATTCTGGGAAGGCAGCCTGTTGGGGTATCATTAAATATCAGCTGGAGATATTATAATTGCCATTTTAACCACTTAGGTCATTTTTTTTTGTTTAGCTTGTTGATCTTCTCCAAGACTTGGAGCTTTGTATGATTAATAGTTAATGTAATATCTTGATTGAAATAGACGTTTCACATCTTACTATTATTGTTACAAGTGATAAGACCATCAATTGGGAATAAATACATCTTTACAGAAAGATCAAACTTCTACTTTCATAAATCCAAGTCATATTGACTCATTCTTCGTGAAGGTAGATGTGGCTGACCAATTGCTCAATGCGGGTCATGAATTTTTTTGCCTTCTGAGATTTATGGGAAGCATATAGTTTTACGAAGCTTGCAAAAAGTGGCATTTTGTATATTAAGTTACTTAAATTTAACCCTTAATGGAGCCGTTATGTCTCTCTATGTATTGTACCCCTACAATTCTCTTATTAGTACCTTAGCTCATGGTTTTGGTTTTCTGCTGATTTACTACTAAAGTTTTCTGTGAACCCCTGGTGTCCTACACTTTTCCCTACCGCAGCTTATGTGGTTCTCTAACACGGGCTTTCTTCTAACTTTGTCGGTTTGCCTCGTTATTTTGCTCTATGTTTCGATCTCTCAATCTTGTGCTAGTTGGATCTATTTGTGCGGACTCTGTGTTTTATAGGTCTATAATATTTTTCCCATATTTTATTTGTTGGGACTCCTATTTGTAGTAGATTCTAACTGTCAAAATTACTTGGAATTCATTCTCCTGAGAGGGAAGTATATATGCATCAATAATGGAAATAGAGGCTGAGTTTTATTATTAAATTCTCGTGCAACTATGTATACCCTTTTGCCTCCACATCTGAAATACTAATTCTGCCACCAATAAGTGTCACCTAATGATGCATGTTTTAGAAAAATTCATTTGCCTAATGCTCAACTCTATAATATAATTATTCTTAAGTAGGTATTGAAGCTTGGAACTGTTTTACACCTTTAATTGAATTATTACATATTTATATGCAAAAGTCTATGCAAATAGTACACATCTTACTGGGTATTATATACATCAGGAGTTCTATTAGCTCTTTTGTTGTGATAAGTACAACCCCTTGGATTTGTGTAATTGAATATTCTTGTCAGGTTCCTAGAGTCAGATACAAGTTCAGAAGAAAATGTTGAAAATTTTGACCATAAATTATTTCTGAGGCCATATATTTCTTACGATTTATTTCTAAGTGAACTTCTAAAAAGTATTAAATCCTAAAACTCATAAACAATACAAAACCTTCTAACATTGAGTAATCAAACATCAAATAGTTAAACTAATTAATATTACCAATTATTTGGTTTAGTGGTCTAGTCTTTGACCTCTAAATAGAACTAAAAGCTAAAATTTCAGCCAAAAAAATTAAAAAAAAAATAATAAATACCATCATGATGTTTAATCATCTGCCTTCATGGATAAGAGCAGAGAAATAGCAATCTGGCAGCAATGCAAAGCCTTTAGAATAATATTTGTAATGAATCTAAAAGGCTACCAAATCTTAACCAGAACAAAAAAAATTCAAGACTGATCCTAAGTCAAGTTTAAGCGAAGTTTGCTCAACTCAAATCACTCAATTTCAAACATGCAAGAAATGAAACTTGATTTGAGCCAAATTTGGGAAAAATAAGAACCAAAAGAGGTGGGAGAAGTGGGGGTACTGCACCTAGAATTTCTTGGATGAGCAACAAAGCACTAACAATTATTACTTTCAATATATATATATATATATATCAAATATAAATAAATACATATAGTTTCAAGCTAAATGAAAGAGCATCTTGAATGAGCAGCTGTAAAATTGGAATGGAATTCAGGCAAAGGTTATTTCAATTATACACTGAAATATGGAGCTGAGTTTTGAGCTACTTCAGATGTTATTATCGAACCTAAAAAATTCATTCAAGGATCTTGAACAAATGAAAACTAGCGACAGATGAGATCACTTCTGCTGAATCATTAAGGAAACTCACCCTTTTCCATGTCTTAGGAAGCATGAAATTCCAATTCGCGATGCCTGCAAGTTCAAATTTACAAAATTAGTAAAAACTCACAAAAACTGTATATTAACAGACGACCAAGTCATAAGTACTTACAGACAGTAAGCAAATCTTTATCAATTCGTTTATGCTGGCCAACTGAACTCGATATGTTCAAATATGCAGATCTTCAATGTCAGCCAAAAGCCTAACACTACCAGTGGATATCTGCTCCGAAAGGTTCACTACAAGCTGACCACAAGCACCAGATATGTCTTCGCCCATTTGCTGCCTTATAGTGGTTCGGATATTATACGTACCTCTAAGCAATTTCTGGAAAACCTTGACATTGTGTTCTGAGCTTGTTCTGAAACAGCTGGAAGTGCCGATCGGGTTGAATGGTATCAAATTGACGACCTGTTTCAATCAATATAGAGCCCAAATGGCATGAAGCAAGTCATAATGGCAATGAAGATAATGGCTGGGTTTGGGATGACTTTTTTATTACTTTATTGTTTAAAATGCAACCAAGAATTTGTTTGGGGTGCTACTTTATAACGGAGGTTTACAAATGTTTAAGTTCTACGGCTATTTTTCGTGACCTACAAACATCACTGGCATTTTGTGCGTTCAGCATTTCTGAAAAGAAAAACGGACTAAAAAACCCTTTTTCATTCGACAATATTCCATAGAAAAAACTACTTCATCCACCTTCCAAAGTAGTTACTCATTCCTGCATCTCTTCAATAGCATAATAGACGAGCTTATTGCACCAAGCTTCAGCATAAAAATTCCCTCCTGTTGCTTGCACTTCTATCCACTTACCTAAATCGCACAAGCAATTCTTTTGAAGAGCTAAAGCTCTCAAAGCCCTAAACTTTCTCCTTGGAAAATTATTTTGATAAAGAAAGTTAGATGAATTTAATGAAGAGCTTCCACAAGAAAATAGGTAAAGAATATGACAAAACACAGCTTAAATAAATGAGATCAATTGAAAGATTGAAATTTATGAAAGGAGCTTACGCGGGGATCAACTGGATTAGGTTGGGATCCTAAAAGAAAGAGCATTGATGTTTCGGATGAATGGTGGAAAGAAAAATTAGAGGTGAATGTAAATTTTCAAAATATTAACATGTTTGTTTTCATAGCTCTTATAGAATTAAATTTCGAATTACAGGTCCTTCCAATTGCCAAAAAATTTTGATGTGATGGTATAGATCCTAAATTAGAAGAAAAGCTCGATTTGATGTTCATCGGTGTGGTTGCTATGAGATCTAATAATTGGACTCCAACTGAAGTTTTCAATCTTTATAGACTGAAAATTCTGAACAAGTAGATAATGATAGTGGTGCTTTAAATGATTCAACATAAAATTGAGATGATCATATTAAATATACCCATGTTGACCTCGATTTTGACTAGACCCGGGCCTGGAGAGTTGACTTGGTAAAATTGACCAAGCCAGACCCCAAGACCTTCTCCAATGGGTTCCGTGAGTTGAGTCGAGTCTGTTGAGCCTGGACTTGGACCTTGGGTCAACCCGGTTGACCAAGTCAACCAGGGTTGACCACTTAGCCCATTTAGAGCCCAAATCGATTTAAATCCAAACTAAATCCCCTCATGGCTCGATCCTCTTTCTGAAAATATTTCTTTTCAAGCCAGTCTAATCTTTAATAAGTTATACACGAAATTCATCATCCACTTCTAAAAAAAATTTCTACACACCTTAAATCAAATTTACTTATGAAATATATGTTCTTGTAATTACATTATCATTCTATTTATTATATATATAATGTAGTCGTATTGCTGCTTTATGAAAGTTAAATTAACTTACATCAAAGTTAGAAATATTCTTCTATCAGTGCTCTACTTATTAATCTGGGAAGTCAAGCTAGATACTTAATATATTGAAATCTTTTGTGTAGTGTGATTAATGTAGTCTTAAATTAACAGGCTTGTATATTGCCCTTGCACATTATATTCCTGTAATTACATTTTTATTCTATTGATTATATGTATATGTAGTTAGATTGTTGTTTTATGAAAGTTAAATTAACTTGCATCAAAGTTAGTAAAATTCTTCTATTACAACTCTACTTATTAATCTGGGATGTCGAGCTAGATACTTAATAAATTGAAACATTTTGTTGCAGTGCGATTAATGTGATCTTAAATTAATAGGTTGTATATAGCCCTTGCACATTTTGTTTTGATATTACAAACTATGCTAATGTTTTTTTTTACCATATTACTAAAGAATAATAATTTGATATTCAAATACAATACAGTAAGATACTGTTTCATTTATACTTTCTTACTAAATTGAAGGCATGTGAATGTCATTAGTTAAAAGATAACTTGGATTTGTTTATAATCTCATTATTATGATGCGGAGCTTGACAGTTTCAAAGCAGTATACAAAATAAATTATTTAAAACCTTTATTGAAAGTCTCGTGAATAGAATCCTAACATTGAACTTCACAAAGAAGTTCATAATATAAAATCAAATTGTGATATATGAGTTGCTTAAGTTCTTAAGAATAACATATCTGATGATACAAACAAGAATTGCACATAAATATTTTAAATACTTACAATGCTTGCTACTTTAAGATTAAGGTTTTGTAAGATTAGATTAGAGAACTTTCAATCGTCAATCTTATTGTAGTAATGATGGGGACATCAGATCGTGAAAGGTTTATCAGAGACGTGGCCGCTGATCTACGACCACGATCGAGTCTTTATATTTCTGAGTCATTGGTGTATTTTATTATTCATGTATTTTGTTATTTGCTTAGGTGTATTTTGTTATTTCCCTTTGTACCCCTCTTATGGGAGTTGTCGTATGTAAGCCCAAAGGGCATTTGAGTATTTATTTCTTTGAGTCCATTGTACTTGGCTATATATAGCCCTTTGCTTATTGTTTGAGGGTTAATGAATGATTATGAGAAAATTTCCTGCACTTGTCTTATTGGAGCTTTGAGAGAGCTTGAGAGCGAGAGAGTTAGAGATGTTGGTGGAGCCTAGGAGAGGCCACCCGTCATACCCAACAGTCACCACCGGTGGCTCTTGGTTTTCCTCCCCTCCTTTCCACCTCAATCCCATGGTCATAACCCCCCAAACCCGAGCCTTCATCTCTATCCAGACCCACGGCCACCAACCCAACCCGAGACCTATAGCCGCCGACCCAAGTCCCTGGCCGCCGGCCACCTTCGTGTCTTCTTTCCCCTTGAGTTTCCTAATTGGGTTGGAGACTAAAGTTGGAAAATTCTAAAATTCAAATTCATTTAAATTTGAATTCAAATTCTTTCCTATTTTAACTCCTCTATTTTAGGAAAGTTTTAATCTAAATCCGTTTGAATTTGAAATTTAAATTGGACTAGATTATTTACTTTCCTAATTCCTAAAACCAAATTAAGAAGCCTTAAATGCTTTCATTAAATCCCTCCCATGACCCTTAATGCCGCCGGCTCCCTCCTGCTTGGTTTTGGAATTATTTCCTAAAACCTCCACTTTGTTTTAGGAAGTGATTTCAATTCTCCTTGATCTTTGCTGGCCGAATTTTCCCTAGGCCTCCATGTACTAATTTATTTCCTGAATCCACGTAACAACTTAGGAAATAAATTTGATGCAGGACAACTTAGATGAGATGCTTATGGATTCATTCAGGCATTGCACAACTCTTAGATTAGAATAAATTTGGAATTAAATTACTCGCAATTATCAACGAAGAGTAAAACAATCAAGGAGATATTTTGCGTAGGCTAAAGTACATACTACGAGCTTTGAACTTTCAAGATAAATAAGAAAAATAAAACAATGCGAATTAGTAGTTTTCAAGTTAATCTATAATCTAACAACGAGATCTATGATGCAAAGAAAGTACACTCAATTCCTATGAATTTACTAAGCTTAGCAAGAGCACTTGGAGGAGACTTTCGCAACTTCAATCACATCAATGAGAACTTAGACTTAGAAGAAATTAGATGCAAGAGAAAGAAGAACCTTTGCTAAGGAGACGTGGATATCCTCCACTAGATGCCTTCAAAATGCTCGTCAAAGGCTTCCATCAACGCGAATAAGATACGATCCATGTATTCTTCGATTGTGTGGTCAATCTCCGGATTCACGTCGAAGAATGTGGAACGGAGGATGTCGGTGAAACCGTCGTCGTCCCAAGTGAGGCCGTACTCAATCTCCGGATCCGCCATTCATAGGTGCTAGTCGACAAACTCTTCACAGGGAGTTGCTTTCTTCAATGATGCGTTGAGAAAGAAGTTTCTCGTCTTTGTAGAATAGATGAAAGATAAGAGCAACTATCTTGTCAAATCTGAAATTGTATTTCAGATTTTTGAAAACCTATTAAAGAGGATTCAATAGGGGAAACTCAAATTCAGTTTTTTGGAGCCAGTGGATGGTGGGAATTAGAATTCCTTCCTTCCTAATTATTCTCCTAATGGAAAATAATTAACGGTGATAGGATGCAAGAGGAGGGGCGGCAGTAAAGGCAAAAAAAAAAAAAATCCTTGATTTAAATCTCTGAGGGAGGTATTCCTTTTAAGAACAAATCAAGCCTTTATTCATGCAGATTTTGGTCACGGGAGACAGCAGGAAGATTAGGAATTATTTTCTAAGGGAGGCCGGCCACAAGCAGGAACCACGGGGAGTTTTAATTGGGACAAATGTAAGACTCCATAAATTAGGGAAAGGATTTAGGAAAGTATGATCTTAAATCAAATTTGAATTTCAAATTTAATTAGATAAGAATGGAAACTTTCCTAAAATAGATCTAATTAAATAAGGACAGATTTTGAAATTTCCAAGGTTTAATTTTGAATTTCAAATCTACCTGCATTCAATTCCATCTAAAATAGGAAACAAGCTTGGATGGGGGAGGAGGAGAGTGGATCGGCGGCTAGGGGATGGAAGCCGGCGACATGGGGTCGATCAGAGGTTTGACCGTGGGCTTGAAGGAAATTTGTGGAGGGGAGGAATCAGATGCTAGGGGATCCGGCGGCTAGGTGATGAGGGAGGAGGTATGGGAGAGGCAACGGGAAGAGAAGGGAACGAGAAAAATGAAAGAAACCACGAATCCGACTTATCTAGGTTGGTGGGTATTGCGCCAAACTTCTTCCTCTCCTAGGAAGCTCTCCCCATTAGAACTCTCAAGCACACAACGCTCATGCAAGTAGAAATTTTAATAAGCAGTCATTCATTCATCCCTCAAAACAAAAGAAATGAGCCTATAAATAGCCGAGTACAAAGACTCAAGAAAATAAAAGACCAACTTGCCCTTTGGGCTTACATGCGACCACTCCCATGAAAGGGGTACAAAGGGAAATAATAACGACACCTAAGGAAATAAGAAAATGCATAAATAAAATAAAATACAATCATAACTCAGAAATACAAGGACTCGATCGTGGCCGTAGATCGGCGGCCACGTTTCTGATAAACCTTCCACGCTGATCTGATGTCCCCATCAAAATTCCCCCTCCTTTCCCCTTGTCCCGCCGGTCCCCTTCCTCTCTCTCAAAATCGGATCTCTCTCTCTCCTTCTTGGTTAATTCAAGGAGATTTCGGCCTGAAGACTTCTCCATCTAATTCCACTTTGTTTCTTTAGAAATCTGAAATTTTTCCTTCAGATTTTTGGAGATAGAATTTGGAACTAATTTCAGATTTTGGTCAAGAGCCTTGTTTGTTTTTTCCCCCAATTGCGAGAGAAACTCCTTTCCCTTGGCTAGTACTCAAGGGGCGTATCAAGTGCTAAGAAGATTCTACACTCAAGTACCTATGAATGGCGGATCCGGACACTGATTACGGCATAACTTGGGACGAAGACGGCTATATAGATATCCTACAATCTACGTTCTTCGACGTGAACCCAATAGTTGATTTCACCGTCGAGGATTACTTGGAGCGTACATTGATATACTTGGTAGAGGCTATCGACGAACATTTTGAAGGCATTGAATGGAGGGTCTCCACTAACCCTTGACGAAGGTTTCTCCTCTCCCGAGCATTTTATATCTTTTAGTCTAAATTCCCTTGGTTTGATTTGCAGTCACGGCGGACTCCTTCACCTTGCTCTCGCTCAAGCTTAGCAAGCATAGGATATGAGTGCACCATCAATGCATCCTAATTCTCAATGTTAGATTAGGGATTGTTTTGAAAACTACTACTGTTTGTTGTGTTATTTTTCTTATTTATTTTGGAAGCTTCAAAGCTCTCAGCATGTGATTTAAGCCTAATCGGATAACCCCTGATTATTTTATTTCGTTGTTCGAATTTGCCCGTAGCTTTATTCTTGAATTATTCTAATCATAAGTTGTGCAAATCCAAGTGAATTAAGCATTGCATACGTAGTTCTGCATCATCTGGTATCAAAGCATGGTTTGCTCTAGTTTTGCATGCTAGACATCATCCTAGGAGTTGTTTTAACTAGTTTTATACGTTGTTGCACGCATGATATCATTTAAATTAGTTTAATTACATTTTATGCTTGCTGTCCACTGCATTACTGCATGCTGTTAGAGGTTGTTAAGCTTGTTTATCAATTGTTCAAGTGCTGTCCTTAACCTAGCCACTTCACTAGTTGTCTAGGTTGCTTAGGCCCTCCTTGTAGTTTGCTGTCCTTGAGTTTCCAGCACCATTTAGAGTCCCCTTAGAGTGTTTTTCCCTGCTGTAAATTGCTGTCCACTTCCTAGAAAACCTTCTTAGTACCCCATTGTGTTTAGGAATGAACCCGCAACAACCAGGGAGGACTTTAGATCTATTGGTAGGCCAAATGAACAATATTAGCCAACAGCTTAAGGAGAACCAATCGGATCTAGCTGAGCTTCGTAGGAACACCACCGAGAGATTTGATACACTAGAACGAGCTAGAGACCAACCTACTCCCTACACCCCATCTAGACCACCGTCTATGTATGGGGAAGAGACCTACCCGGATGAGAGGCCACATCGGGCCAATCATCGAGCTCCCTACCACGGACATGATCCACGTCATGATCCTGATTTGGATGAGAGGCATCACCGTGCCAATCATCGTACTACCTACCACGGCCATGATCCCGATGCACCACT